TTCAATAGTAAATTATTTTCTATTTAACTGTGTAGTAACCGCATGTTTAATTTAATTTGGAATTTCCAACCCAACCGGACTTAGACTTTCGGGGGCTCGGGCAAGTATTTTTCGAGTCCTTCGACCAAAATAAAAAATTGACCACGAAAATATTACTCTATGAATTCTATGAAATCCAAGTATCTGTTAAATGAGAACTAATCGAGCTAAGCTTTCTATTTGAGAAATTAATTCGCTCCCCGAATAAATATTTTTAGAATATTTATTTATTTTGTATTGAAATAGTTTGTAGGATTGAAAAATTAAGTTAACGCCTCCAAAAAATTCCATTCTAGTCGCGCCAATAAATAAATAAATACAAGCAAATATTTAATATGAATCATAATTATATGATTTTATTGTATTCACCAAATACTTTATGTGAAATCATAACACAGATACAAGACGTTTGGCTTTCTTTGTTAATAATACAATACTAGGATTATTTTGTGGACTAAAAATGTTTGTTTTTAATATTCTCTATTGGTTAATTATAAGTTAAAAGAGATCTAACTCTTTTTTGTAGTCTTTGTTGATAAGAGTATTTTTTTTTATTTGTGTTGGTTAAATCATAAATAATATCGTTAACTTGTATAATCTAAAGACTACAACATAAGCCGTATCTTTTAATAATGGATATTATTAACTTCGTATCGTTGTCTTTTTGTGACTCAGTGGTAAACTTATATTTCATGGACAATATGGTGAAAGCGACGCGAAAATGTTAGGGTACATGTCTAAATGTATAATACAAGATTGTTAAGAGCATAAAAAAAAAAGAAAAAAGGAGTACAATTTTGTGCAAAAAATAAATAGGTTGAAACTAAGCCAAATACATCGAACAAAGCCAAAAATAATTGAAATATTGTGTTGAGTTTTATTTTACTCTTAACCGATGGAAACTTTTTATTTTCCTAGTTTTTTTAATCTCTATGATGATTATTATATTTAAGACGCGTAAAAAACAAACCAATTTATTTAGCTTTAAGACATTAATTTAGGGTTTTTGAAAATTGTTTTTTAAAATTAACCGCTTTTTCCTAAAATTAAGCTTCTCTTCAAATAATCTTCAGCTTTTACTTTCTAAGAAAAGTCCTAACAGAAATCAACAATACACAGATAGTATTCTAAAATTCAAAAGCTGTATTTCCTAAGAACCAAATTTTGCGCAAAAGTCATTTAAAGTTAGACGATTTTATAAAACGTTATGACTTTAGTAAAAGAAACTTTTTTTTTTTTGGTCTTTCCAATTGATTCCGCACAAAACATTGCAAAGAAAGTGTGCTTACGATCAGAGAGTTCAAAACATTAAAGTAATGTTAAATGTACTAAAACAAGTTTGTTCCTAAAGAATAGTGGACATAAAATTCTTGTATATTCATTTTATTCTTTATAAGAGCAAAATAGGTTTCAGTTAATATTTCATGTTTCAGGTACAACTTCAAAATCAAAATCTTTTTAATTTGTAATGAATATAATTATTTGTGTTAATATAAATTTTGAAAGGTAATGAAATATTTTTTAATAACGATGAATACTTGTCAAGTGATTTTTTTTGGTAAAAAATATATACAAAAATGCTAATTATTTAAAAAAATATATGATTAATTTCAGATTAAATTAGTCACAAATTAAATGATTCAGTAATATTTTTAATGTAGATAATTGTTGAAAAATAGATAACTTAATTAGAATTTATGCAAATGTTTTCTATGAGTACTATATAAGTAACTATATTCATGACGATTATCTATGGACAATTATAGAAAAACTACAAAAATTGTCACTGCTTAAATATAATCATAACTTTAACTAACAAATTTGTGCATTATAGCTGTATATGTCTTGTAATGATGGCTAGTTTTGGAATCTAATAAATTTAATTTTACTAATATAATTATTAGAATCTATTAGCTTCGATGCGAAACTGAGAAGGTATTAATTTTACTGTTTTTTTTTTTTTTTTGTGATCGTATCTACTCGAAAACATTAGCCTCAAAAATTGAAAAAATTTTCCTCGTTCCCCGTAAATGGGGGAAATCTCCAAAAAAATTTCAAATTTTAAAATCGCTAATTTTCGAAATTTTTTCAATTTTTTTTACTTAAAACTGCCATAACTTTTTCAAAAATGAACAAATCAATACAATTTTTTTTTATCGATGCATGATGTCTTTACTTATCATTTGATATATTTTTTTTATAAATTTGTCACTTTACCTGCCCACAGGGGAATTCAAAACAACAACATTTTCACAAAAATTAAATTTTCAAACTGAACTTTTCAAAGTATTCCGGAAATACTGACACTTTTATATATACCTTAAATTAAAGCTTATGTAATATATTTAATTATGGAAAAATAATTTCGGACTTTATTTTGTCTTAACTGTAAAAATCCCTACCGTATGCTATTTTTGTGTTAAAATTCTCGATTTTATATTTTACATTTTTAACTTTAAAATGCTATAACTTTTTGAAATATGAAAGGATCAATACAATTTTTTTATGATAAATACTATATATATACTTCTTTCATTCGACATACTTTTTTTTAAATAAAACCATTTTATTTTTTACATTTTTAACTTTATAATAATAATACTTGTTCCAACTATGCCACGTCACCACTGTGCCGCGACCCCCCTGTGAAGGGTTTTTTTATATTTTAATTTTCTAACGCTATGAATTTTTGAAAATGTTTGGATCATTATAATTTTTTTGAGATAAGTACTATTTATATTCTTCTTTTATGCGACATACTTATGTATATTTATTCATATATTACACTTATAAATCATTTAAGTTGTAATCGGGATATAAATAAGCAAATAGATCATATAGCTTTTGGAATAACCCAGAAAGTTTTTAAAATTAAACACTATCTATAGATTTGCATCAAAGCGTTTTTTATGATAGTGATTTTAATCTTACTTACAAAATAAAAATAATTTGGGGAAATGTTTTTTTTTGTTCTTTTTAGTTATACATAAATTGAAGTTTAAAAAAAATTGTTTTTGTTATTATTAAAAAGAAATGAATAAAAATATAATTCTAATGTAGTTTAAGAATGCATAAATTATTTTAAAAAGAGTAATTGAAATGCAAGCATACATATTTAACTCGCTTGTATAGTAGAAAATGATTTAATTAAGAAGATTTCAGAGATTATTACGATTTTTATACTTAAAGAAGAGGAGTAGTGATGTCAAGAAATGTCTTGTGATAAAAATAGTTATACTGCCTTCACTCTCAGTCTATCTTTTAAATTAGTTAGAATTTTCGTAATATTGTTTTAAAATTTGTTTTGATTAAACAATAAAAAATACTTCATAATGGATAATTTGAGAAAAAAATGTATAATCTTAAAAGAATTATTAATATTATTTTTATTTTATAAGTAATTGAGTAGATTGTGATTAACGGATCATTACGTATATTTGTTATTATTCACTGAGTTTGTGTCAGCCTATTATAAATAAAATCCACTTAATGCAAAGCCGTCATTTTGATTAAAAGTATTAGTCCTTTAAATAAAAGTTGAAGGCTAAAGGCAGCCTTCAACTTGTCGATTCAATTTTGATCATTTTACATTTAAATTTTAATTAATGTTCATAGTTAGTTTTTATATATCTAATATTGCTATCATTTTTTGAAAAATATGAGGTACCAGATGTTTTATCAATTAACAAATAAATCATAAAAATAAAATTTTGTGTCAAACATCTTTTTCTGTTAGTTTTAGCTGTGGTTACTTATAGAGAAACTCTACAAACTGGTTCTAGAATATTTTTGTTGTTTATTATTAGTTTTTTATACTTTATATAGTGTCTAGAATGAATAATTATAAAATGATTCATTACTATTACACCTGCTGTTGAAAATAGATCCGTAAAATATAACTAATAGCATTTGCGTTGTTTATTAAAACAAACAGCATTACTAAAAACTCTACATCTTGATATATAAATCTTAATATAATTAATTTTAATTCAGAAAAGGATTCATTAAGTCAGTGTAAATAAAGCTCTAACGTACATTAGAACCTGCCAGTACTATTGCACTACAAAATTTAGAAAAATACAAACAGTTTACCGTTCTAGGTTAATTCTAATGAATTTTCGTTGCGTGTTTATATTTCAAAGTGGTATAAAGTAGTTGGAAGATATGAGTCTCAATTGTAATGAGTTCCCTATCATAAAAATGTCGAAAACAGCTTCTACAAAGTTTTTACGTTAGAAACGTGCCGAAATATACGAGATGATGAAAAATATGTCTAAAGAGTTTCGGTCTACGAACATTTCTGTTTAAAAGATACGCGTGTGAACCAAAAGAAAATACATTATTACTTCACTTTTGATTTATTGTTTACCTCATGAAATTGATTCAATATACCCTGAAAAAAGGCTTTGTCAGCTTTAAAATATCATACTAAAATATACAAACTTCTGAATATCTGGATTGCAGTTAAACTAAATTAATTGAATGTTGTTACTGAATATTTTTCAAGTATCATTAATAATAGTTCACTGCTCTTTAAGTAGAAATTTTAATGAAGTTTTTGTCAAACAAATTTAAATCTTAAATGATACATGTATTTATTTGGTCTTTGAAAGAATTACATTAAAAGATTATATTTTTAAACAACACAAAATGGAAACAATGACAGTGTTCAGTGATGCGTACAATTCGTTTTACAGAAAAATGAAGGAAATCCATTATGAATACGATATTATCTAAGTAGAAATAGCTGTTAGCCATTGATAGTATTGAATTGAGTTGTGCCCAAACTTTTAAGTTATTGGTACGTTTATTCTTACAACAATGGACTTTCTTGGAATTCTATCTGAAATAGAAAATTTCTCTCAGACAGTAACTTTTTCTTAATGTATTATTTTATACGAACTTAAGATTGGCTTAATCTATTGTTTTATAGAACTAATTACTTTCTTGTAATATTTCAGAAAGAACAAACTTAGAAAACCTGCATCGGAGTTGCATAATCATTCATGACCATCATGAAAACAACTCAAATTCAAGTAATTATATTAAGATAAAGTTATTTTATTTTGAATTGGGAAGAAGGAGTGGGTAAAACTATAGTAATCAGTAAAATCGAGAAAGCTAATTGAACCCTATGTGATATGTTATTTTTATAAGTAATGGTAACTTAAAGAAACTTATTATCAAATTTAATTTTGAAAGGAAAAAACAAATTGAATTATCAAAACTATATTTCGTTAGGTTAATTACTAATTCTGGTGGAACATGACTTAATTAAATTGGTTTTCCTATTTGCTTCATAAAATGAAATACTGTCTTTTAAATTATGGTTGTGTAATTTGTATAATTATAGTTTGGTTTTTATGTTTTTCATGCAAAGCTAAAAATGTATTAGTCTTATGAGGTATGTTATTTTTTGTCTGTCTGTGAAAATTCTCAGCTCTTACCGATATTAATAATCAATTCGTCAAAAGATGACAATTTTAATCAAGTTGAACCCATCGATGCCATAAATTGAAAAATATCTCAGAATAATGCTACCGTAAAAAATGACAATTTCAAAAAAAAATTTTCTGCTTTAACTTTTTCAAAAAACATTGCTCCTAATGACATTTTAATAGGATATACTCCAATAAATATGCTTTTTTATGTTATGTTTTTTGTGAAAATTTAGTGAGAAAGCTAAATTTAAAAAGTCCATTTATGGATGTAAACAAATTTTTTTTCATCTCAATTTTTGAAAAGGTTTTGGAATGACTGCGTTCTTTTAACCTATATCAAATCAAAGCTTTTGATATTTACTGCATCACAATATAGTTTGATACTTGTTCTTCTTTGAGAGATTTGCTATTAAAGTAAACAAAATGGCAATTAAAAAAATATACATTTAAAAATAATTTTAATGTAACAAACAATTTAACAAGGACTTAATATTCGAGTAAAAATTTTAAAACCTTGATTTTGTTAAAAGTACAAAAATATTAATTGTTTTGAACTTTAACAGATTCGTTTTGAAACATTTTGAAAATAGTGATATTAATTACTACCAGACACAATTTATACTAGTCCCAATTATGACGAATCTGTACTATACCACTGACAATCAGTTTTATTTCAATTGATATTAGGATATGACTGAAATATCGGAATTGAATTTATAATGAACATATATGTATGTTCTTCTTTTTTTAACATCTTAATAACGTCTATGTGCACCCCATATGTCATCGAAAAACGATGAAAACCAAAGGACAAAAGAATTAATTTTAACTTTTTTTCAAGTTGTTCCTTAATGAAAGTAGGATTTGGGAACAAACCAAAAATATACCATTAAATAGTATTTTTTTAAATCTTCAAACCTTTTATTACTATTACTATTTTTATTATTATTTTTTTTTTTTATATAAATCAAAATTGACTGAAATATGGTTTCCAAAAATATTGGAAAATAGAAAAATGTGTTGTTTTTTTATGTAAAATAAGAAAAATTAAAATTTTTTTTTTAAATATTTTGATTATTTTTCTTTATCATTTTAAGAATGTTTTATAATGTTATTTAAATAATATTAATTGCAAATTAAATAATTGAATAGTTAAATAAAATACTGTAAAATAAGTTTATAGCATACAAAAATTCTTTTTGTAAGTTATTTTGTGTTATGAAGTACAATTTAAATTCGACTTATTCATTATAAAAGGTATATTTTCAGTAAGAGTTAACGAAAATGTATAATTCGTTGATTAACATTATATAAATTGGATATTTAAGGCAATAAAGTAAAATAAATTAAGATTAAAAAAAAAAATTCTTATTTTATATAATAAAACAAACAGTTTTTCTCTGTATCATTTTTTTTCATTTCCAATGTTTTTGGAGATTGGAACAAAATAAAAACATTTGTATTTTTAAATAAAATAGCTTTATCTCAAACAATTTTGACTTTTCAAAAAAATAAAATAATAATAATAAATAGTTTTAAAGATCTGAAAAAGTACTATAATAATATATTTTTGGTTTAATCTCAAATCTTATTATCAATTAGAAACAAAAAGTAAAAATTGATCCTTTTGCCCTTCGTCAAATTCCGTTTTTTGAGGTCACGGGGAGGTGCAAATCTTTATGTTTTTTACTTATTTATAAGTACACTTATTATTTGTCGTAAAAAACTAATCTGGAAAACGTTCATGCGTTTTAGACTTAGTGGCAAAACGTATGACCTGATATGAATATAGTTTTTTTTCTACGGAAAAACATTGAACAAATGTAACAATTTTTACTCTATTTTACTGTACTAGTTTGATTTTAAAATTGCTTAGGTAATGTTATAAGTAAACCAAACATCCAATAGATGTTGTGCTCTAAAAGACAAGCATATTAATGTATTCAAAGCAGTAAAAAGAACTTGAGTGTTACTTGATTTGTTACTCAAGAACCGAATTGTTCTATGAAGAAGAGCAAATCACAAAATAAATTAAGAATTTGATTTGGAAAGGTAAAGTTTAAATTAAGTTTTAATTTAAACAGTAAAACAATTAAGTTTTATTTTGTACAAGGTGGTATATTAAATTTTAATTTACAATCTTTGTAAGTTCTTTTTTATTTTTAACTCAAAGGTGTAATTTTTTAAAGAAAGTAAATTGCATTTAACTTGTTTACTAGACTAGTTTGATACATGTATGTTTATTAGATACTCATAGAGATTTTATGTTTTAACTGGTATTTACTTTAAGGAAAAATTATTATCCACTTCAAAAATTACATAGGATTTTATGTGAAAGAAAAGATTTTATAAATTGATTTATAACACATTTAGTCTTTTTAATAACCTTAAATTGCAACTGTTGATTGCTAATGTGGATTCGCATTAATACATATTTGATTATAAGGCAACGAGTTATTCAAGTTATAATGTTAATTTATTAGTTTAACTTTTCTTTAATTTAGCTTTTAATTATTATATTATTAAAAAGTTAATACATAAAAGACGTGGAATAAANCTTTTAATTATTATATTATTAAAAAGTTAATACATAAAAGACGTGGAATAAACTAAAAAAAAAATTTAAATTAATTTATGAGAGGAATTGTTTATATTTATATCCGACGACGATATGATTTTAATATTATATACTTCATAGATAACGACGGAACTATTAAGTTGGGATGGCTTTTCCGGTAAACTTTTAATTTTAATTAAAATGTTGAGTAATGATACGCATATAAAAAAAGATTAAGAAGTTTTTCTCGAGAAAAATACTTTTCGAACAGTTTTTACTTTAAAGTACAGTAATTAGTCTGATTTATTATAATATAATTATATAGTTTTTAATTAGAAATATATTAATCTTGATTAATGAAATTCGGGAGAATATATTATAATTAATTAGTTATACAAATTGAAATTATTTCTTAAAACAATTAAAATCATTTTCATTAATTTAATAGGAGTGAAATTTATAAAATAATAATTTATATTTTAGTATCTTATAAATGTTTGAGGTATTCAATGAGTCGTACGTGTAAAATATTTACTACTATATAGTTTTGAAACATTTAATTTTTTCAAAAAATGCTGATATTTTTAAACGCTCACGGAGATTAAAAGTAATTTTCTGATCTTCACCAATAATTTTTCCAGGGTAATGTCTAGAGTTTTCCATTAAAAAAAAAATGGAACACATTAAGTCATTTTTTAAGAAAAGAGCTAAAGAAAAACTACTTTAAAATTTCAACAAATAATTTAATTTTTTTATTATTAGAAACGAGTAATAATAATATGCTTTAAACGTAGTCCAAAACTGAAATCAATGGATCAAAAATCACGAAACTACTTCATTTTTGACGTTGTATTCCTTTTTTCAATGATTCCAGAAAAGACCACAACTTTGTAAAAGAGAAAAAAAATGGCTAGATAAATAAGATATCATTTACAAACAAAAACTGATATGATATTCAAGATTGATGCCAGTTTTCGCATTTTTTATTCATTGGTTGGTTTGGTGAAGAAGCAGTAAACACATTAGGTCAAAAACAAAAATGTGGCTTTCATATGTAAACGAAAAGTTAGAACTCTGATAACATAGCGATGATTAATTAAAAAGGTTCCTGAAACAAATTTATAGTATACACGCTAATATACAGTTCTTATTGAAAATTAAGAAAAACGAACAACTACCGTTTCTGGACGTACTAGTCCAAGAAACAGCCGAAAGGTAAATTTGGCACAGTAGTGTACAAATAAATTACATACACCGAAAGATTGCCGTTGCACACCATTGCCCTACATAGAAAATGGGATTACTATATAAAATGGCAACAAGAACTTAAAGAGTAGCTGACGAAGACCTCGCAATAGAAGGAAAACTATACCCATAAAACACTTTAAAACAATGGATACACAATTAAAAACATAAACAAGATATTAAAAAATGCCTAAAAGAGAAAAAATATAGTAAGCAACAAAAGTTGTTATCAATTTTTATTTTTTTGTATAGGTCATTAACAAATAAATAAGCTAGTTAATTATGTTTGTCGCCATTAAACAAATAAAGTCGATGCCCTTGTATAAGGGACGAATAATAAGATACTTAGTTATTAACAAATCGATAAATATAGTGCTTTTTCGATTTATTAATTTCAAGTATTTTTTTTATAAAAGTGAATAATACCAAAAGAAATTTCTTAAAATAATAATTTTTTTAAGTGAAATCGGTTGGCTAATATTAAAAAAGTAATCTGTAGTATAATATAATATAGTCTATTGTGAGTATGTACATCATAATTAAAAATGGATATTTTGTTTAAACATATATTTTGAGTCTCTATTCCTTCATAACGATTACTATTGGAGAATGAATATTAGGGATATAAGATAAGAGAATACGAAATGCGGATGGTAGTTAATTTCACTACAAACACGATCGAAGATACAACACTGTAAATAGGAATAGAACTGACAGATCTATATTTTAGAACGCTATTGGTAATAATAAAAATGACGAGCATCATTGGAATTGTCAGGGCTTGGAACTGTAA